GCAGTCGGATCTTTTACCGGCCCACAAATTCGACATTTTTGTTACATGTCATCTTAAACCTCTTGGGGTGGGGGTTAGGCGGGGTGGGGTGCGGCATGTCAACTTTCGCTTGCACTTGAAGTTGATGCTACGTAACGCATGGGGTTGGGTGGTGTGGGGTGGGGCATGTCAACGTTCGTTTGCACTTGCGTCATGAAGTTGATGCTACGTCACGCATGGGGTTGGGGTTGGGTGGTGTGGGGGGCATGTCAACGTTCGTTTGCACTTGCGTCATGAAGTTGATGCTACGTCACGCATGGGGTTGGGGTTGGGTGGTGTGGGGCATGTTAACGTTCGCTTGCACTTGCGTCATGAAGTTGATGCTACGTCACGCATGGGGTTGGGGTTGGGTGGGGTGGGGTGGGGCATGTTAACGTTCGCTTGCACTTGCGTCATGAAGTTGATGCTACGTCACGCATGGGGTTGGGGTTGGGTGGGGTGGGGCATGTTAACGTTCGCTTGCACTTGCGTCATGAAGTTGATGCTACGTCACGCATGGGGTTGGGGTTGGGTGGGGTGGGGTGGGCCATGTTAACGTTCGCTTGCACTACAGATACGTAGAGGCATATATAGATTCTTACCTGTAGAGTATTCGCATCTACATATGTGTACATACACCGATATTGCGATCACTATATGTAATATGAATGTTCATGTATACATATGGACACATAGATAGATATGATACACATATATAAATATATAGATATGATACCTGCTGGCCAAAACGGGCCTCTACCTGGCAAAGCTGTGAGCTGAAAAAAGGAAAACCGAACTCGGAACGTTTTTGACCACAAAATGCTGGAAGGGTTGACGAAAGCATCTTGCGATGAACTTTTTTTTAGAAACTTTTTTGGACCCAGAATGTGCGTTTGGCTAGCACGAGAACGACGTTTTTGAGAAATCATGGGACGGTGAAAGATCCGTCGGGTTTTTTAAGATACCACATGTTTGGGCCGAAACTGCACCTCTACAAAATTACTACAAAATGTATGTTACTCAGAGATTCAGAGCTTTGAACACAATATATATATATATATATACTTACTTTTGAGATAGATTCAGATAGATAATTTCGAGCATGCATTTTGCAGGGCAGATTTTTTGGCCTGGAACAGCATGTTGTAGACCCTTTTGCAGCAGGTTGCCACTGCATTTTCTAATAAAAAGGTTCTGTTCTCTGAATTGTAACTACCCTATGGGGGGGGGGCAACCCACCCCCGGCAATGTAAAACCCCATATAGTTTCGACTATTATTTTGAGTTTTGACGATGAATCATGGATGTTCCACCCTGCTATACGTACCAGACAGGCTACAAAACTGCGTTTATCATGTGCGAGCCTTTTGTGCCTAGTGCAATGGTGCCTGTTCCGAAAAATGTGTTGAGGCGGACATGTTCTGAAATGAGAGGAAAACAACGTTTCCAAAAAATTGATCACCTATGCTAAGGTGCATTTAAGATAGTCAACATTCACCCAAATGTTTTGGATGGAACATGTTTGACCTTTGATTCTTAAAATGCTTTGATACAACATGTAAAGATTTCAATTCATTGGTATTTGATGCAGTCAAAACTAGCCCTAACTTGGTAGACTATACAATAGCCAAATCCTCGTACCATCAATCAAGAGCAGCAATACACGGTGAAAGTATGGTGAAATCACTCTATCAGAAGAATAGGTCTCATGTTTTGGTCCAGTCAAACCATTCCTTCGATTTGTTTAATCAAAAAACAATTATGTCAAACTATGTGTTTTGGAATTCTCAGGGCACATCAATGGTCAAACCGTTTCAAATCCCATGTTCGAACTCTTTGGATCGCAGATGCCTAGAATAACAAACGTGACTTTCTTGAAGATGGCTATGCATCAGCATATGACAGTACATCAGCATATGACAGCACATGCAAGCCGAGGGCATACAGACCAGATATCTACATCTATCACCCCCCTTTTTCATGCAATTCAAGACATACCACTACTATCCTGTTAAAATTGCCGATGCGAAAAGCTGGTTCAGCCCCGCTCTGACAATCGCATTTATTGCGGTCAACTTTGATGTTTTTTGCTTTCCAATATTTCCAATTCTCTCTCTAAAAGGGTCTGATTTATGCTGAAGACCTTTGCAAGAAGTGATTAATGAGTAGATGGACGTTTGAGTAGTCTGGTGAATGATATATATATAATATGTTGCTTGCAGTTTGAAATGTAGCATGTATACTATATATTGTTTTAAAAAAAACATACATTCAGGTTCGGCCCGCCAAAATGATATCACGAAAACCATTCGATAGGCTTGGCTGAAGTTATTGATGGGAGGGAAGCAAGTTTAGGGGGTCCGGGGGCACAGCGGGACAAACTGGCACAAACATGGTCATGTGGGTGGTGTTTATGGTTTGTGATCTTGCAAGTTTTCCAGGCTGATGTACCAGGTAGCAAATTTCAAGGGGGTCAGAGGGGAAGCTTGGACGTGGTGCTGTGATCTTGAGAATTTTCCGAGAACGCGAATGTGTAGCAAACGGGCTGAAGCTCTTGGTGCCGTATTTTGAGTTTGTGTTAAATATAATGATTGTTTGCGTTTGTTCTGCTAGGGTGCAACTTCAGTCAACAACGCTTTTGTCTTGTTGTAATAATGTCCTTTGTGCTCTTGAAGTATTTCCTTTGCCTTTTTGAAAGGCTTACAGCGCCATACCCTCTGGATTTGTTTTGCCGCTCATGCATGTATCTAGTCTGAGCTTTACAGCGTCTGGATCCGACATATTTGATGTTGTTGTTGAAATTGTTGGTTTGTTCCGATGACGGTTGTAAGTTAAGTGATAAATGGTGAGAAGTGTAAAGTTTAAAGTTTAAAGGCAATATGTCCAATATATAATATATACATTTTCTTTGGTCAACTGAGTCAACTGTGTGAGTTGTGTTTGCGTAGATGCCATGTGTACTTGTACTGCAGGTTTGGCTGGGCCAATTATTTTAAGTATGTTTCAATGCCCACGCTTTTGTGGTACCCACTGCTTCATATAGCTATGCATTGAAATCTTGGATGACCAGCCAAACTTGCTCAGAATAACAATGGTCAAAAAACATGAAAACATTTCCAATTATCGCGGTGATTATTTGACTATGTGAATTTATTACGAAAGCCAGCTGGGAAGCTGGCTAGTTGCTATTTGCGAACGAAGTGAGAATAGGGGGTCTGGGGGGGGGTAGTTGCCAAACGGGTCAAAAATCGGGAAAATAGGTGGTAATTTTGGGCAGACGCAAGTA